CTTCCTTTACACCCCTCTCAAACCACCTGTCTTATTTATCCAAAATGTGAACATTCTGGTCCTCCAAAGAATGTCCTTTGTCCATGAGGTGTAGATGTACCACAGGGTCTTGTCCTAAGGAGGTCGCTCTTCTGTGTTGGGCCATGCGTCTGTGGAGTGGTTGTTTTGTTTCTCCAATATAAAGATCAGAGCATTCCTCACTGCATTGAACTGCACACACCACTCTGTTTATATTAAGTCTAGTGGTTTTGTCTTTAGGTTGTACTAGTCTCTGTTTAAGGGTCTTATTTGGTTTGGAATGTAAATCAAAATCCCAGTACATATCGGATAAGCGATAGACATTATTAGCCAGACAAGATAGGCATAAATTGGGAAACATCTATTTAATGCTGTCTGAAATTCTTTTGAATGTATTTTAGTTCAAATTAAAGATAACCTCTATGTATATTTCACTCTTAACACATCAGAGGTCACTGTGTTAAAAACAAGTACCATCTGAAAGTAATGGATCAGGGTAAGGTTATCATTTAACGCCAACCTTTTCCTACTAAAGCATCAGTGTGAATTGAGGCTATAGTGAACCAGGATTGAGGGGTTTCCTTTCCTTTCCATTTCCTTTCATGTATTCTCTCTGTCTCATTCCCTCACACACACATAGACACACACCATATGGTTGAATGTCAGACAGCTGCAAGACCTGGAAGAATATGCTTGGGATCGTGTTGCAGAAAACGTTGAGGCTGATAATTATATTTGTTTGCAAAAGCAACAATGATTTCCCTTTCGGCTTGCCTCGATGGGCAGTCACTGTGTGCGCGTGGGCGCGACGTGTCAGCGTGCACGGCGACGTGTCATTTTGTACGTGTGTCTCTGTGTCACTGACTGTTGTGAGAGATACTTTGCTGTCACATCTTTTCGACCAGACAACAGTTCCCTTTGAATATTCATTGGTATGGTGAATTCATCCCCAAAAAACCGTAATGAGTTCACAGCATTAACAGCTCAGAAGAGGTGATGAATAAATGCATAGCAGCTTTATCCTCTCATACCTATGCAAATCTTGCCACTGCATAGTAAGGTTTATGTAACATTATATTTTATGGAGTTCCATTTGTGTCAAAAATACGTAGATGTAATATATTTGTGGTTCATTGTGGTTCTTAGCCAATGTAATCTTGCCATTCATCTGCAGTACACGAGCTCTTTCCTTGCAGTTTTTTATGATGCTGTTTCCCTCTTTTGTTGTCTTGCACAGTTGACTGCATGTCTCTAACTTCCCTGATTGGTTACTATCATTGCTCTAGCTGTTGCTGGGGCATCCCATAGATACTTACACGCCGCATTGGAGGCTGCAGGCAGCAAGGCCGTCATGCCAATAGAGCAGCCATCTTGGGTCAGATCATGGTTAACACAGCTGCTGTCAGAATGAATAGGAGTTGCCTCTGATCTCATTTTGATCAAATGTAAGACTGGTAAAAAATAATATCACATAATCTTTCACATATCACAACCCCTTAAAAGACCAAAACTAATTTAAAATTAGCTTTCAGTTTGATTACTGATATGTATTCAGATTAAAAACTATTTAAACTGAACTCAAACTGAATGAAAAAGTACATGCAGTTATATATTTAGTGATTAAATATTTAAATGATAAATACAGTTTTATATAAATAAACAATATTATACTGTATAACTATAATTTGTATGGTATATTATTACTTTTTTTTTAATATTATTAAGGATTTTACAGTAATAATGACTTTATGTTCAATACGGGAAACTGCTGTATTGTGATTTTCATAGTGAATTTTCATAGTGAATGGTAAATTAATGTGTATTTATAATAAAATTATATATATATATATATATATATATATATATATATATATATATATATATATATATATATATATATATATATATATATATATATATATATATATATATATATACACATATATATATACATATATATACATATATATATATATATACACATATATATATACATATATGTATATATATATGTATATATGTACATGTGTATATATATATATATATATATATATATATATATATATATATATATATATATATATATATATATATATATAAAGTAGCCTTTTTTGGGGGGATAAAACAGTTTATTTTTTGATCATGCAATTTAAATTTGACTTAAAGTGATAAAAGGCCCACTTACAGAGAGATACATTCCATCTAAATATAAAAGCATCTGTTTAATTTTGGTAGACATGTTTTCTTACTGATGAAATTATGGGTATATTGTCATTAAAGCCCCTGTTAAAACATAGACCATGCACGGGTTGCTTTGCAAAGGTGATGCCATCAGAAAGTTCTGGAAAGTTGCATTTAAATTCAAGAAAGTAGCTTGTAAATTTATTGCAGTGAACTAAAAATTCAAGTCAGTAATGGAAAGTGCCGAAAGAAACCGATAATAATTTGTTAATTTAGGAAAATAATCTGGGAAGTAATGGGTGATTCCCCAGAAGCAACCAGCAAGTTCGATAAAGTCCCCTTTACCTTTGAGAAAGTAGCTTAAAACATTCAAGAAAATAACCTGCTTGATTAATAATGTAATCTAAGTATTACAAAAAAGTTACCTGTAAAATGATCACTGAGGTATAATACAAAATCTAAAAAGTATTATGAGCAAATGTGGTTGATTTTCTTGGCCTCCCTATAAAACATAATCCCACTGAGATTCTGCAAATGAGATGTTATGCTCATTTGTTTAGATAAATTCTTGGGCTTTTGCAGGACATTCCTAAACAAACAACACTGCAGGTATGAAGCAACTAGTCTGCTTTCTCACACCTGATCAGTAACAGTCAGCTTTAGAATCACCGTCTGCAATAAATACATCTGGCATTTCAATGGATCCTCAAAGATCTGGGTATAAAGATTTAATCCTCATGAAATCAATACGGATTTGCAGGATCATGTAATCCATCAAAACATCATGCAGATTTTTTAAAGCATTGTCGGATTGAATTAATATCACAGAGTTCGGGAGATCACCATATCCAGACTATCTGCAACAGGAGCGCTGCTGTGTTACACTTCTACCAGTAGATGTCAGTGTTAAGCTTCTGTTCTTCATTCAGCTTTGTGGTGGAATTATGTCTGCCTGAAATAGGGAAATATTCTATGATGCAAATGTATACTTTGTGGCAGATCTATATTCAAATGCTTAACAGGCAGTATAGCCTACCTTATCCCGTCTTCATTGTTGAAGAATAAAAATAAAATCTTACAGATACATAGGTTTTAATCTAGGCTGAACTACATGATCCAACTAAAGTGTTTTAATCAAATGTGAAGGTTTGATTACATTTTGGACCTAAAAATAAAACTGAATCCACCCTTCATATGTGTTCAGTTTAATCCACCTTTCTTGGATCAAAGTTTTTCCAGTCCTACTACAAAATTCTGTATAAACCCAAACTCAATGTTTAATCTGGATCAGAATCAGGATTAAATTAGCCGATCTTATCCAAACCCATATGCATTTTTTTTTTCTGTATTTGATTCAATCTGTTATCCAAAATCCGAGCAGATTTTCACATGTTCTATTGTTGCTGGACGTGGTGGGGTTTTTTTTCTGCAAAGCCACAATCATAGGAACTCACTGAGCACTGTGCTTCTGCAACTACTGTTTCAAATAAAAAACAACCTTAACTCTTAACTTTACCAAGAACGACACCCTTAAATACACCCACACATATTCAAATATTTAATCATAACACATTAGGCTTTTTTTTCTTTCTTTTTTTTTGCATTTGATATAGTTCCACAATTACCAATATCATACTGTAATTTACATGAAAAATAAAGTTCCTGAAAAAAAACAATAATACCTTGTGTATCTACATCCTATACTACTCAGTACCATATACTATCATATCACACATGGCACATAAACCGTTTTTTGAGTAGCAATTAGTATCTAAGTTGCAAAAATGCAGTCAGTCAAACTTTATTTGAGATAAATACTCTGTGTGACCTTCGAAGAGGCAACTCTGGTCAAATGCTTTGCCTATGTAATGCTGAACCGATGATTAACTTCACTGAAGTTGCAGTAAACGGGGAAAAAACTGACTCACATGCAACACTTTTCACCTTTTCCCCTCTGAAAAGAGAAATCTGTACCTACAAAGACACAAAAAACCATGAAGTTTTCTTTTTTGTACGAATTTCTAGCAGTATTGTGGTAAAGTTAATGAATAGCATAACATCAGTTATGTTTTCAAAACGTCTGTTATGTACAATGCAAAGGGGGTTTCAAGCTCCAACATATTTCATGCTTAAACAGACAGAAAACATTAAAAAATAGATTGTGTTCTGCTACAGGGAAACAGGAGTTCTGGAATTTTGTTCTCAAAGCAACTTTCATCAAACTCGGGAAGTTTGATCTGACCTAAAAACACATCTACAGGTTTTGTAACAAGAAAAGAAAAGGCTAGGGGATTAATAAATGACTGCATATATTATTTTTAGGTAGCTTTTGAAACTGTAGCTAAATTAAATGTAATGCAGGGACTTATGAAGATAAGCCCTTGATTATTTATAATCTGAACATATTGTTTCTAATGTTTCCTGCTCATCTAGCACTCTCTTGTGGTCATTTTTCACACAACAATCTAACAACCATGGATGCAGCTGATCCATTTGGGTATCAGCCTGCTCCTGCTTACCAATAGAGACAGCACTTTTAAATGAATGTAAAAACTAATACCCTTTGGAAATAAACATCAAAACAATAAAAAACAAACTATTATCAAATCTGCTTTACTCCTGTATTAAAGGCTTTGTGTCAAATTAGTGGATGGGGATTGAAGTGACTCAGAAAACTCTTGGTTATAAATACACCTTGTGTATTAAGGCAAAATGTTTCCATATATATCCTTGAAAGATAGATATTCGTTGGTCAGTCAGCAAATCTGATGTGTTGATTTCTTTTATTTTGGACTCAAAGCTCCAATCCAAGCAGATCTTTTCAAGAGTTCTTTTTTTTTTTTTTCTGGAGAAGATCAACTTAACACCAGCAGGATTTGTTCTGTTCGCCACTTGCACCGTCACTGAGTCCCTCCTCTTCCTCCAGAGCAGTGAGATTCAGCTCGTCATTGAGGGATATCCGAAGCAGATCCAAGTCCTTTTTGTTGGCTGCCAGCACCTGCTCAGCCAGTCGTGTAAAAGTCTTTGAAACACAAATTAAAAGACAAAAACACTGATAAATAAAACGACTAGATCTTGATCATAAAAAACTCCAACTTAACATTCAGATTATCTCACCTCTGTTATGTTGTGGTTGGTGAAGGCACTTGTCTCAAAGAAGTCCATTCCATAGGCCTTGGCCAGCTGGAAGGCAGATGACATTTAGATTTAAGTTTTCTAATGTTACTAATTAGTGCACAATATATTTTGATGAAAATGAATATGAACAATTAGAGCACATGACTCTGTGGTGAGGTTTCTTTCAGGTCGAGTTACCAAAACCAGCACTCAAATAAAATTAGAATTAGTTATTGACATAATCATATTTACTCATGTAGAAGTAAAAAGTCATCATCTAAAGATTACTTGATTAAACAAACTATTTTGGAGATAGGCTACTGAAGAACTGACAAACTGTTTAAACATATCATCTGACTAATATGTGAAAATCCAATTGGGCAAATAAAATGTGCCTGTTGATTATGGCAATTGATTGCAGAACATCAAATTCAGGAAGAAGAAAAATTAATTTTAAAGCTATTTCTCTAAACATAAAGCTACTTAAACTAATACTTGTGCTAAAGGCTTTAAAGGGAAACGCCGTTACTTTCAGTACATTAAGATATTCCGTTCTGCTGGCGAATGATTCGCCTACATGTCATGAATGCTGGCGTACCATAAAAGATAAATTATGAACAGTTTAGTTTGTGCCTTTAACTCGTTGCCCATAGGAAGATGTAACAGAATATCTTCAGAACAGCTGCAAATAACACAAAACTAATATGGGTGAGTAGAACATGATGTAATAACGTAAAATCAAGGGCCCAATGTAAAAAAAAATGGCATTCCCCTTTAAATGATCATAAATAACTTCAGTTTAATGGTACGCTGTTTAACAAAAAGCCATTGAAAGGTTATTTAAACACAGAACAGTGAACATTTCCAATGATCTGCAGTGAATAGAGAGGATCTGTAATGCTAAATGAACTTTTTTGGACCATTTTTGAAGTTATTCAGCTTTGCCAATATTGTTGCAATGCGAAGTTCAAGCTGTTCTCCTAAGATCAAATGAAATTGGTCAGGATCTTCAGGAAAACAGGAAACATCAAGGCACAAATGATGACAAACTGGAAACTTAAAAAAAACTTCCAGCACAACTTCCTCTATGCTAGAGTGCATAGAGGACCAAAACCTGATTGGTTTCCAGCAATACTTACATTGAGAATGAGTCTAATTCACCAATCAGTTAATACAACACCATAGGATTTTAACTCTGTTTAAAGAAAGTTTTCCTCCCTTTGAAGTTCTATCAACATCATTATATATTCAGAATTTTAGTTTTTTTATTTCTGCATTTAAAAGTTAAAAAATACATAAAATTCTTAAATAGCTGTTATGTGTGATGAGGAAATTACTAAAAGCATTCATAATATTACAGTAGGGAAGGAGGGAGGTGGAGCCATTTATTTGAGTTTACAGAAACATTATCTTTAGTGTTTCAAAAAAAAAATAAAAAACGGAGCAAGGGACTTTAATCCTTAAAACTCATCGACAATGAAGTAAAAATGGAAATATTTGTGATGGACTGGAATTAACATGAAGGTCCAGGCAATCAAAACAGACTGCATATCTACAGGAAGGCTTATTCCTAAAGCATAAACATACAAACTTTTCAATCTTTGAAACACTTTTCTTAGGTATATGAAAGACTACAAAGTGAAGAACAAATTACTTGAACTCTACTTCATATTTCTGTCCATGGACCATAGAAATCTACTTTCTACAGTTGCCTCACATCATATATAAATGAAATAGTCGCTTGTGATAAGGAGAAATCTGCGATAGCACTTTTGAGAATGATCTTTAATTGAAATATGTGACACGTTGCACCCTCAGAGTAAATTTTGTTTAACCGGAGTGCAAAAATTATATTCCAAGACTATAAACCCATGCCTTTGTTAAGGAGGACTTTCAATAAGTTAAATTTTGAAGATTTTTTTTTTTTTTTTTTTTAGAAACTTAGACACAAACAATAATAACACATTTTTCCCTTTGTTGTTCCTTTCTTTTTCTAACAAGAGGATGTCTTCTCTACACATCTAATGCCAGAGTTTAATTAAAACCCTGCAAATAGCTCCCTCTTGTGGAAACTTTTCAAACTGCATTTGCTAATTGTGACAATTTCCCCCTAACTCCAGCTTTGCATTATTAAAATATGTTGAAAAAAAAACTGCATTATATCATCTTATATTACAGATAAAGTAGGTTTTAGCACAACAGCCTCTTTTAAAGTCAGATTTAAAATTCATTCTGTCACCATTCATACAAGACAGACTGTAGCTGACTCACCTTAACGCCTTGCTCTGTGGCCACCTGTCTCTTCTCCACATCATCTGATTTGTTCCCAACAAGAATCTTCTGGACCTTGTCTGGAGCGTACTGCACATGTTTGACATGGGGACATTAAATTAGATTTAAAACTACAATAAAAAGAGTCATTTTAAAAGTCAAGAGAAGCTGACAGGAGGGGGGAAAAGGAGTAACAGCATGCAGGAAATGAGAGCATGATTACAAGTTGAGAAGCATGGCACGATCAACAGGGACTATATTCAGACAGATCTAAGGAGGAAATTAGTCCCATAATGACTCAGTTAATAGAAAAATAAAAAATGAGGGAAATGATAGGGGAAGTAGGGTATGGTGGAGAGCTTGTAAAACAAAGAAATGTGGAAATAAATGTTATTTCCTTTGAAACACAATAAAAAAGGGGTCAGACACTGGAAATTAAAGATGCCATCTCTCACAACACCATTTCCATCCCAGCATATTCTCTGTCAGAAATGGCTCCCTGCACACTCAGTTAAAGTGTCTGTCTAAAATGTGGAAAGCATGCTTTCTGATTATTTAATGTGTCTGATTTATCGAGCTCTTAGAGGCGCAGAGCATGACTCACCTCGTCCACATCACTGGCCCACTTCATGATGTGCTGGAAAGACCGCTCGCTCGTGATATCATACACCAAGAAGATTCCCTGAAGAATGAACAGAGATGGTAAACTTTATCTCTCTGTGTTGCTTTTTCTTGAACCCAAATTAATTTAACCAGTACAATTTGAAAGATTGTATCTGTGATTACCTCTTTAATGTGTTTAAGTAAAGCTAAACTAAAGTAATTAGTTTAGATTTTTGTCCCTCCAGGACAATGGACGCTTTTGGAGAAGTCAAAAGCCATCTGGTTTGTGAATAATCCATTGAACTGCTTTATCATTAAACAGGAACAAGACGATTTTACTTAAATCTCATTACCAGTTTCTGGTAAAAGGACAATTTAGTTTGGTCCCTTCTAACCTTGTAACAGCCCAGGGCTAACAGCTGCAAATGGTTTTATGGTTCTGCCTGTATAGATGTGTGTGTCCCTGTGTAGATAACTCTTATTTTAAAAGACAATCCGAGAATATTAAGAGGACATTATTTAAAGCTGTGTGTTAGAAATGGGATATTTCAGAATGCAATAGTTAAACGTACCTGTGCTCGTCTGTAGTACTGCTTGGTAATAGTCTGGTACCTTTCCTGGCCTGCTGTGTCCCTGCACAGAAACAAACAGACAGAGCATTCAGCATTTTAGGATTGTAACATGTTTGTTTTTCCCAAAAGATCAACTATATAATATCATGCCTGTTTCTTTAATATAAGAAATTAGTTACTCATTTCAATATATTTCACTCCTTTAACAATGACATCCATCCATCCATCCATCCATCCATCCATCCATCCATCCATCCATCCATCCATCCATCCATCCATCCATCCATCCATCCATCCATCCATCCATCCATGATCAGATCTGTTTTTGGACGATGAGAGGAAGTTAAAGTAGAGCTTCATTAAAGAAAAGGTTCATGCAGAGAGTCTAACCAGCAGTGCTAACCGCTGCACCTCCATTCATTTATGTGACATCTAGTGTGCATTTAAAATGATTGGAAAATAGTAAGGCATAATGAGACTAGTAATGGATGCAACAGCTCAATTGCATCAGCTTACACATCCCGAACAACTGATTTTTTAAATTCCATATCCTCTTTGGGGGATTATTTTCCCCTTAATATTATAGAAGTACTCAAATCATGTCTGGGTCTAATCAGGCTTTAGTAGAATCCTCCTTTTCTTTTTTACAAGATTCTTTTTTTTAGTTTTACGGCACTAGTGGCTTGTTTTTCTGACAGGAAAGGGGGTATGAGAGAGGGGGAGAGACATGGGGCAAAGGACCACAGGTCGGATTCGAACTTGGGTCTGCCGCATCGAGGACTAAGGCCTTTGTACATGGGTCGTGAACTCTCATAGGTTCAAAATTATCCACACCATGACCTGGATGACTGAGAATTAACACAGGCAAGTAAAAAAATAGTTGGTGGGGGGGTTGTTTAGGGTCAGAAAGCATGGAAGTTCAATACTTTAAATGAATATGATGAGCACTAATTCATTGCAACAAATAGTCTGTTTTTCATAAGAAGCAGCTGAGGAGCACTTAGAAATGGAAATGGATGGAGAAAGCCAGCTGCTTCCTGTCCTGCAAAGATTCCCAGATGTCCCCTCTGTGATAAAACTTTCTGAACCAAATGCCAGGAGCTCTAACATCAGGTTGATGTTCTGAGAATTAAACTGGTTCAGGGTGCATTAAATCCCTTTTCATATGTAGTTATTTTTTTCCTGTTGCTTTATTTATTTATTTATTTATTTTCAATGTGAAAAATATGGAAAAGTTAGCATTTCCTTCCCACAATGTATCTAGAAAAAGCAAAACAAAACTAAAGTATGTCTGTGATTAGACATTAAATAACAAGGCGAAGGAATAAAAGCATTTGGTATTTGCATTTTCAATAAGCAATTTTAAAACTTAAAAGTAATATAAAACTAAAAAATACAGTTAATTTTTCCAAATTCTATCTTTTTATCATTAGAGGATTTCCAAGAGTTTTTATTTTAAATATCCTATATTAAGTCTTTTGCTAGTTTATTCCATAATTTTTACCATTCTCCTGCAATTGTGTCTGTTTCTTTAATAGAATAAATCCTTTTTTTTCTAATTTCAAATTTGTCTATCTTTTTTTTATTTATTTTATTTTTATATAAATTTTCCCTTTAAGGGATTTTTTTTAAACATGATACCCTCATAAAACTCTATTATTTCATTAAATATCTGCAGACATAAAATCCAATCTTTTAAACCTAGACAGCAAAATAAAACAGTTTTTTATGATTTCACCACTTGCAAACAAATCTTGATACATAATTCATCAGATTTTACTCATTTCAATATAAACATATCGATTCATAATTCATAAAAGAGACTTCTCCAAATATCCTAACTTCCCAGAGCAATAAAACCCCGGAGCTAACTGACTGCTTTCAGCCTCAATATGAGCAACAAACACTGCAGAATATTGCAAACATGTTTGAAAACAAAGTCATATCCTGTCAGTCAAATCCCAGCATTCACTCCATCTATCAGGCACCAAACCATCTGACTTCATGCCTCCTTCCAACATCTTACCATATCTGTATTCGAACTTTGATACCATCTATTACTAGCGTCTTCATTTTGAAGTCCACTCCTACAGGAGAGAAAATATGATTAGAAAACACAATATAGTTAAATACAAATACAATATTACATTTACAGGAGAGTTTTGAACTTATTTGATGTTCTTAGATATTACCTACAGATATTAGGATCGCAATTTTTCTGCTACATCACAGACAGCAATTCTGTTAGGAGATCAAGGCAATGAGCAACTGGACCAATGAGTTAAATTCTCTTTAATGATTAAAAAATATATGTTAAAGTGAACACAATTCTTACAGGCTATCGATCTGTACAGAAACTTTTAAATTATTGGAAACAAAAGCTATCAAGAAATGCTTAAAATAGATAAAGCCCATTTAAAAAATTAGACGAATGCAATGAACCAAAACAAAATGTGAAAAAAAACATTTCATTGCATAAAATATGTAATAATTAATTTGATAAAAATGCTCTTTCAAAGAACTGGAGATTAAGGGGTCTGCATTTTATAGGCACATATTAGCTTCGGACTGGATATCAGCCATGGATATAATTCACCAATCAGGTGTTGTTTTTGGGACACATAAGTGAGGATTGCAGCACCATCGGATCACGTGTATCCAAATGATGTATGTGTCTGCATAGAACCGAGGGGGAAAACTACATTGCTTATATGAGTAGTAAATATTGGTGATGGCTATAAACCAGTTAATTTGTTAAATGTTAGCAATTTGGCCAAAAATTACAAAATCTCACATCCTTATTCAGTTTAAAAATAGATTTGGAATTTGCATTTTGGCAAACTGAGAAAAATATCGCTCCTCTGTTCCATTTTAGCACAAAAATCTTGGAATATTTCAAAATAAAGCACCCTGAGTGCAAATATTTCTTTAGGGCTTGTAAAATCTATGCGACATCCAGGAGCAGTGACTCTAATGTGGTGTTTAAAATGTCCTTGTTGTTGTTCTCCGAATCCCACTTCAGAGCACCTTTTCATGTTTCACATGGAGCTGCTGTAGGAAAGCTCAGGTGTTTGTCTTCCTTCCTCCACCAGGCGGCGCCTGGTTCTGATTCTCCTCCTCACACACCTGCAAGGGGTTACCTCGTTAACGGAGTGCTCTTAAGCTGCTGACTGCCACTACCTCGACGCCAGAATGTTTGCCAGTTTGGGGTAGTCTAGCCAAGCTGAGTTTTGCTGAGTCAAACTGAGTTTTTGTCAACCTGAGTCTTAACGTTGTTATTTTGTTTTTGCCTCTCGGTAGGAAGTCATCCTGCAAACTGAATTTTTCGGACCTTCTCTCCCTGGAAGGATCAACTTAGCTTCAAACTGAGCTGGGGATACAAACCGGAGGTTTGGATCCACTTTTCCCCGAGGAAATGTTTGAGCTTCACACTGAGCAAGGGATTCATCTGCACAAGAGTCCATTCAAGTACCGTAGGAAATCTGAGTGGCAGTCAGTCTTCTCCGTTCATCTACAAGCAACCGTATTCTGGGTAACCCTGTCCACCCTCTACCGTATAAGACAAACACCGGAACACATTCCTCACCTACTGGAGTCTAAGTGTCAACCTAATGTCTGGAAATGTGAGTCTGCCAACCTTTCTCCTCTTCAAGTTCGAGAATCAATTCTCCCACTGAACCTGAACTAACCGCAGTGTCTTTCCCTCACCTTTCAGTTCTGGTTGAGCAGTGTTCGGAGCAACACTGGAAACACCACAAAACTTCTCAATAAACCTGTTAAACTTTTCCCCTTGTCTCTCTGGATTGGTTTATCTGCATTTGGGTCCGAGCTCTAGATAAAATCATGACACATAATGCATTCTCATTTGCTTGCAGCATTTTTAATTTACTGAAATCTATTTTTTTTCTAGACCTGAATGCATCCAGCTGAAATTGCATTTAGAGCCTGAAAGCAGTGGCATAGCTAGACGAGTTCTACAGAGGTGGCTAGGGAGGGACCCATCTGCACTTAGGGGGATGGTGAAAACATTCAGGCGAGAGAATCAATTTAGGGTCAATTTACACTGATCACACTGCAATTACAGGAAAATGAATATGAAAAAAATAAATCACAGATGATGGACTAAATTTCCCTAAACCCCCTTTTTAAAACAGGGGACTGAATACGTTTGCAAGCCATTGTATATTAGCGCTTCCCAATTGCTTAAATTCAATCAGAGGTCATATGACTGGTAATCTGGAGATCATAAATGACCGGGAAATAATCTAAAAGTATATTTAATACCTGACAAAAGGTAATAAACACACCTTGATTCTCATTCTGTTATATTCAAAAGGTATTTTAATTTAACCAATGAGTCTCATTGGAGTACAAGTTATAAATTTACTGAATACGATTTTGTGTTGATATTTGTTTCACTGACCCACCAAATCTATTTTATTTATCAGAATAAACAGACTAATTGGTGTTACGTTTTGTACTACAAAAGAGAGGAAGCTACCATGAGAGTTTAACACTACTATTAAATAATAGACAATAATCTGAGCCTTTATGAAATGATTCAATATATAAAGAATTAACATTTTAAAAATGAATTTCTTTTATTTTTTCTTCCTCCACAGATTTCCTCTAACTGGTGACAAACCCCCAAGCTTCTAGAGCACTTTAATCCCACAGAAATCAATTAGCAACTCAACCCAATTAAGCTGATAGTCAGTTTCACCTCTGTGTCACAGCTGGCAGAGGGAAATGAACAGGCTAGAGCAGCAAATCTGCTGCTTGTTTGTTCTGGACAACTTGAGAAACTAAGAAAACAACCAAACAGCTGCCTGATTTTCTTAAACTGCATATTTGCTTACAGCACGCTGGAGTCAAGCCAGGGCTCCACAGAGGCTGAAGTCCACTGAATTGACACCATGACACCTAATTGAAGACGAGAGACGGCGTTAACTTTAAGAGACAGAGCACTCAGACCAACTAAAAGGTCAGCACTACAATCACAGACTTGCCGAGGGCAGCAGGGGAGACTATTGAAGAAGGAGACTCCTGAATAATGCATCGGTTCTATTAGTTTGAAGGTAGACTAAGAATCTTTTAATTAAATAAACTCATTAAGGAATTTATGTTTCTGGTTTTACAAGGTACATTTGCAACCCAGGCATCAAACCCTTTATCAAGTGCTGGAATTAGTGAAATCTTTATGAAGGTAATGCAAAGAGTTAAGCCAAACAGACATTATTTTGATATTTCACATACTGACATTAGGATGGAGACTGAGGTTTCATTAGGGCTGAAACAATTAATCAAATTAATTGTGATTAAACAATTACTGAAATAATCATCAACTAATATAGTAATAATTTAATCGTTAAATGGAGTATAGAAACTGTAAAATACAACACAAAATTTAAAGGTATAGCAGAGGATTTTTCCTAATTTTTGAAAAGACCCGACATCTACACTTTAAAAAAAAAATGCACATACACAACCCTGTACCCGCTCCCAAGAGGGAACCCCTTTTAAATGAGAGCGTACTCAAGCCCATTTCTCCTCGTGCATGCTCTGTTTAAAAGTTGCTATTAGCATCGCTCATACAAGCTTACTTTCCAAAAGATTTGCAATTTTTCCACAAGGTGAGACTCACGACCGTTGAGTGAAAATGTATTAATTTACAAAGAACTGCGGTGAGAAAGGTGAGCTTCAATGACTGCCTGAAACCATAGCTTACCAAACATAAACGCATGAAAGTGCACCTGCGCAGAAAAAGATAAGTAAGGGGACGAGCATGTAGGACGGCCCTACGTAAACATATCACCAGAATGATCGACAATTCTTTCTTTCAATCTAAAAAAACTATCCAAAACTCTTTAGTGGGTTAGTTTGAGATTTACTTGGTTTAATTCTGTAACAAATCTTCTTTAGGGAACCTTTTGTATCTGATTATTGATCAATCAATAAACTAATCAACAGATTGATCAATGAACAAAATAATCATTAGTTGCAGCCCTAAGATTTCATATGCTATGCATCTCTGCATGGTATATTCATTTCCCCTTTAAGGGATTTTTTAAAACATAATACCCACATACGAATCCATTATTAAATATCTGCAGACATAAAATCCAATCTTTTAAACCTAGACAGCAAAATAAAACTGTTTTTAATGATTTCACTACTTGTAAACGTATCTTGATACATAATTCATTAGATTTGACTTTTTTAAATATAAACATGTCTATTCATAATTCATAAAAGAGACTTTTCCAAATATCCTAACTTAGCAGAGGATGCTGCTAATTTCACATTTTTGCAATAAGAAATGTTGCATTTGGTCAGAAAAAAATTAGTTCAAAGGCAGAAGGTTCAATTAGAACCTTAAAAGCAATTATGGCCATTTTGTGCATTAATACAAAAAATATTTAAATAAATAAACCTGTCTAAGTCTTAGTCTAATAGAATCCATAGCTGCAGTAACAAAACCATTCATTTGCATTTCTGAAGGATTGCAATTCATTTAATCCGTACTAATCCAACAATCCATTACATTTTAATAACAAAAGAGAAAAATGGAAACATGTAAGAGACGGCAGTTATTTCAAGTTGACAGTCTGGGAACCCTGTCAGAATGGATGTGTAGACACATATACACCAACTGGACTAATTGACTGTGTTTTATAATATAAGACGGATGGGGCAGTAACACAAGTCAGTGCTGCTGATGGTGCCAGTAATGGATGGATGAATGGCTGGATGACATTTATTCAGTGGAGGACAGGTTTCATCATCCATGACTGTCATAACAGCAGACGATAAACAACAGCTGTCATGCCCCCCGTAGCCGTGAGGGTCCTGGAAATAGAGGGCCAGATCCTTTCATTGATTTATTTTTTTACTCGACTGTCATTGCTCTGCCCTGGACAGCTAAGCTTTGTATTCTTCACGCTTTCTGTGTAAAAACCCTTTTCAATAAATTCACCATTTAATCCAATCTGACATTGAAAATAAATGTGGGAAATTTTAACCTTAAAAATGTATAGATTTATAAGGCAAATGGGATTAAGTGAAACCATATGCAAAAAAATAATCT